CTGCTGAGCAGAGCTCTGTCGGGCCGAGAGAAAATCTTTTAGATAAACAATTAATAAACACAGAGACCGAGAAAAGAACTGAAGCCTCTTCTGGTCCTTTGATACGCGGGCTGCCCCAAGGCCACCCCGGGCCTTTCCAGGCCATCCAAACAGCCGAAAATCGGACAAAGAAGTGATGGTGAACACAGTGTTGCTGCCTCGAGGTGGACAGAGCTGAGCTGCCATCATTAACCCCTCAATTCCCACTGAGCACTGCTCTGGTGGCCAAGGGACAGATTCAAATATATTTTTAATAAAAGACAGAATTTCACCCTCCATGACTCACCACACCTTGAGCTCTTCTCTATCCATCCCTTCCCCCTGTGAGATGCTTGATGAATGTCATGTTGTGTCATTTTCTTTTAACAAAAAGCAGTTTTCACACTGTTAACAGCACATTGCTAACTCCAATATAAAATTCTCTCCTCCTTATTCACTAATTTCAGTTAATCAGCACCAAAACTGCAGTGATTTGCATCAGTTATTACAGTTGTACAGATACTTAAAACTTCAATCTAAACTTTGTACCAGGACTCAATTTTTGTTAAAAATTGATGGAAATTTTATGAGAGAAAAAAAAAAGACAAAATACTCACCCCATCATAGAGAGAAATGGAACTCATGTGGCTCTTGGGAATGGAAATGCTGCCATGGTGGGGATCACAGAACAGAATTCCATCAGAAAAGAAATACACTTTGCCTAGAATTTGAAGGGAAAATAATTGTATGAGGTATAAATCAACTTTTCAGCTTCTTCATGATGAATGTCTGGGCTTGCTGAGGAAGAAATCTATGTTCCTGCAGGATTTTGTTGTATTTAACAAGCAGCAAATTTGATTTGGGATAATATTTACTGATATTTATTTTATTTTTATTAAATAAACGTATTTCTTTTATTTGGGATAATATTTACAACCATTCAGTCTTTACTGGATCTCATTAACAAGAACAGGAATCATGACTACAACTGTATCTGAGTTCATCTGACACCACTTATCATAAATATTCTGAGGCAATTTTTTAAAATTAAAAGCAAAAAAAAATTCCATCCTGCCAAATTTCAAACTTCCAGAACTACAAAATTGACAACACAAGAACTCAAGTAAAGATTACATCCAAAACAATTGAAAATTTAAATAATGTAACAAACTGAAGTGTAAAAATGTTTAAATGGAATATTTAACATTAAGTTTAATTTCAACTTAAAAGAAATAATTTTAAACTAGCCTTTTAAATTAAAATTTACTTAATAATTAACTTTTTTGGTGCAAACTGGGTTAGTAAGAGGTGTCCCTGCCCATGGCAAGGGGTTGGATCTAAATGTTCCAACCTAAACTATTCCATTAATTTTATGCACTTTTTGCACCTCACAGTGCCAGACTACAGGGCTGCAACTCAGCAGAGCCCAAATTTGAGCACAACAAATTGGGGAACAAAATCAGCTTCACTGTCATATGAAACCCAAAAAAATTTCATGTTCCTTGCAGTGTTTCCTATTGCTCTTTAGAGCATCTATTTGTAACTCTGCAGCTCAAGAATTGGTAAAACACTGAACTTCAGAAATCTCAAAAAAAAACCCTTAAAAATAAAAATTTTAAAAAGGAAAAAAATTGCTCCTTTGGAGGCACACAGAGCCAGTTTTAACAAAGAAAAAAAAAATAAAATAAAATAAAATCCAGAGTTCTCCAGTTATTTACTGAGTGAACAAGTGCCCACAGCCCTGCATTGCAAAACAGCAGAACATCACACTCTGCATTAACCTCTTCCCTTTGAAATCTGATTAATTGGAGCCAAAGCAGCTGCCCTTATGTGAGGGCTGCTGTTTAATTGCCTGGCACATCATTATTTATCCTCCACACTCCAGGGCAAAGACAATAAAGCTGAAGGTTCTCCTCTAAATACTGTCAGCAGCAAGCACTTAATGTCAGATATTCAGCCCCTCCTGCTGCACATCAGCACTGTGACAGCAGCACCTCCTCTCTAAAAAAAAATATAGAAAATATAGAGAAATATATCCTAGAATAGAATTGTATACTATAGAATATAGAGAAAATTAAAGTATTGTGCTTTAAAAAGAATATATTAATTCAAGGCACAAGGAGGGAGGGAAATTTAACAGTCCTATCAGATTGTTTTCAGTCTTATTCCTGGGATGTTCATGTTCTTGAAAGAAAAGACACCAAAAAAAAAGAGGAATAATCCAAGATTGCTGTCAGGGATGTTGTGTCAAAAAGCTGTAACTGGATTGGATCTGAAGGACCAAATTCAGGCATTTTTCTGGGCCACAGTGAGCACCAGAGCTGACAAATTCTGAATTTCTGAGAGAAAATGGCAGTGGCAGAAACCTGGAACACGTCAGCTCCAGGAGGAGGCTTTGGGAGGAAGATTTGCCTTCTCCTGAGCTGGGAACCCAAAGCCCTTCTGCAATGGCCAATCATTCCAACCTCATGTCTAAAAAGACAGAAAAGGCAGAAAACATCTGGCAGCACATCTGGAAAGGACAGGAGGAGCCAGTTTGGGCTTTTTTGAAGGTGAGCTGTGAGGAAAAGCCTCCTCCCACCAAAGGTCTGCAGGAATTCTCCTTCCAGGACTTCCAGGCAAAGGTTGGGAACAAAAAAATGGAATTAAAACCAAGAGACATGGAAAGGCAAATTGGAAGTTGAAGATGATGGCACAGTTTGGCTCACCACAGTGTGAATCCCACAACCTCTCTCCTGTTTAAAAACCCACCAAAACAAGCAAAAAAAAAAAAAAGATAAATAAAAGAAATTTCACCTCACCTTCTGCAGGCATGGCCTGTGGATTGCTGGAACAGATATAAACTCCATCACCCCCAGTGAGTAAAGTGCCCAGGAAAGATTTGTCCTCCTAAACAGGAAAAAACCAAACAGCAACATCACAGACTGGATCCAGGACCAACCCAAGCAGGAATATTTTCTCCTGCTTTTGCTCCAAGAGAAAATATTTGATTTTCAAACAGCATCAATCAAGAACTTTTCAAGATTTTTATCCTGCATGGACCAAGGAAAGAGAGCAAGGCAAGAGGGTAATTTTTAAAAGCCTTCCCCATATTTTGGTTTTGCCAGCAGCAATGAAGTTACAAGTTATTGTCACAACCACAAGGCCGAGCTTTTTGTTTTTTACTTTGTCCATCTACTGAGCTAAAAGTATATTACATGAAAATAAATCTACTTATAATGAACATTCCTGGGAGCCACAAATTGCACCACAAATGTGAAACTCATGTGATTTAAGATGTTTCCAGATCCCAAACTCTTTTTTTTTTTTTTTCCTAGTGCTTAGAGTGTTTTCCTTTAGACATTAGCATGCTAATTAAGTTAAAAGAAAGTTGCATCAAGTTTTAGGGGCTTTTGGAGACACATGAGCTCCATGAGTAATGTTCAGTGAGACTTCCATGAAATCATAGTTTTATTAGGACTCTTTTTGCTCTTGGCTTTTATGATTCTTTGAAATAAAGAAAGCCTCAAACTTTTACACACAATATATTATTTTGTATGTGCAATTTTGAAAAAGACAAGGCAGAACAGGCAACTCTTGCAGAAGAGAAGTAACACACAGAATAAAAAGAGAGTTTGGTAGTAGCTCAAGTTTTTCAAATCCTGGTTCATCAAAGTGTAACTTCTTTAATTCAACAAAAAATATTTAATTTTACCTTTAATACTTGCTGTGCCTTTTCAGACAGCTTCACATCACTGTCTTCAACCTGCAGCCAGAAAGAGCTTCCATTTGAATTGTGATTTCTATAAATAAAGCAATCTAACATTAAATAAAAAGCATTAAAGAAGTTTTGAGGCCAACAGGAACCTCAGGTACCACAGACAGAAGCAGCCCCGGGCCCAGAGTGCTTTAAAAACAATTCTGTGCTCTTAATACTGTGTTACCATGGGACCAAAATAATTTCTCACACTACACTCTTCCCATTAAATTGCTTTACAGACTAAATATTACATAGATAAAAAGCATGCAGTTTTATATTTTATTATTGTTCAAGCTTGCATTGCCAAGGGCAATGCCCAGTTTTGTCATATTCTTTGGAATTTTATCTCTCCCACAGTGTAGGGCATCAGAGGTCTGGAATCAAACTTTGCTTTCTTTTGGGCTGATCTAAAATGCCCCACAATCAACAGAATTTTCAAAACTCCCACTGTGCACTTCAAAAAACAACCAGAACTTTCGAAAGATAAAAACCTGACGAGGTGAAAATGAAATTAATGATCATGATAATAATAAATGAAAATTTCAGTAATAATAATAATGACATTTTCAATAATAATAATCATCATCATCATCTAATAATTTAATAATTTTAATAATAATAGTTTAAAACTCCTGCTATGCATGGAACCACCAGCTTCATTTTTCACTTAGCATCCAAATCTAAAAAACCAGGGAATGTTAATATCACAATATTGTGTTTCAAGGCTCAGGTTCCAGATTTTCCCTCAGCCAAGCCCACTCCCAGAGCAAGTTTTGCCCTGAGGATGAGCTGAGCTGAGGCTCTGAGCTCTCACTCACCAGCCAAGAAGCAAATCTTGGGATAGCTGCAGTCAGGATAACGTGCCTGGAGTCTGGATGGATGCTGCCATCTGCAGGGAAGCCATGGGGAAACAAAACAGTAAAATCAGGGAATTATTTAGGTTGGAAAATACCTCCAAAATCACCAAAATCAACCTCTGACCTAATATCACCATGGCCACTAAAATTATACCACCCACATACTTCAGAATGCCCAGTATGTTCCTGTTAAGACTGGAAATTTCTTTAGTAAATATGAAAATCTTATTATTTTAAGGATTTCTGAGAGTTTAAATGAAGTTTTCACAGAACAGTAACTCCCAGTGCTCTTGTGTTCTGATATACACAAAGCTCCAAAGAAATCCTGATTTATTCTGATCTTTCCATGGCTGCTCCAGGGATCCAAAGAAATCCTGATTTATTCTGATATTTCCATGGTTGCCCCAGAGTTCCAAAGAAATCCTGATTTATTCTGATATTTCCATGGCTGCCCCAGAGTTCCAAGGAAATCCTGATTTATTCTGATCTTTCCTTGGTTCTTCCTTTGCTCTCAGTGTTCCAAACACACCAGGGTAACAGCAAAAACACCCATTGGAATTTATTTGGATTTTCCATCACAGCAAAGCCAACAGGACAAGAGTGGTGTTGAATTTTAGAATTTTCAACCTCTGACCTAATATCACCATGGCCATTAAATTTATACCACCCACATTCTTCAGATTATAATGTTTGTTACTGTTAAGACTGGAAATTTCTTTAGTAAATATGAAAATCTTATTATTTCAAGGGTTTCTGAGTGTTTAAATGAAGTTTTCACAGAACAGTAACTCCCAGTGCTCTTGTGCTCTGATATACACAAAGCTCCAAAGAAATCCTGATTTATTCTGATCTTTCCATGGCTGCCCCAGAGTTCCAAGGAAATCCTGATTTATTCTGATCTTTCCATGGCTGCCCCAGAGTTCCAAAGAAATCCTGATTTATTCTGATCTTTCCATGGCTGCCCCAGAGTTCCAAAGAAATCCTGATTTATTCTGATCTTTCCATGGCTGCCCCAGAGTTCCAAGGAAATCCTGATTTATTCTGATCTTTCCATGGCTGCCCCAGAGTTCCAAGGAAATCCTGATTTATTCTGATCCTTCCATGGTTCTTCCTTTGCTCTCAGTGTTTCAAACCCATCAGGGTAACAGCAAAAACACCCATTGGAATTCCTTTGGATTTCCCATCCCAGAAGGACAAGAGTGGAGCTGAATTTTAGGATTTAAACCACTCACCTTTTTCTTTGACCTGTATTTGTGATGTCAGGAAGGACTCTGAAAACACAACAGATCCCAAGCATCCCCTTCCTGTCAGCAGGTCTGGAATGTCAAACACCATCATGGATGCCTGCAGCCATCCAGCAGTTGGAGGGAAGAGAAAGAAGAACTTGGAATATTTCAATTGAAAAAAAACAAAATTTGTATTTTTCAAACATCCTAAACCAGTATTTCTATATTGTGGTTAAAGCCTGAGATGATCAATCTGGGTTAAATGTTTTTATTCTGAATTCTGATTTCTTGTGAAATCTGGTGCAGCATCTGAAATGTCACTCATGTCTCCTCTTACATTTGTATTCACATAAAAATCTCAGCATGCCCCAGAAAAACAGACATTTGAGCTCTACTTTCTAATTAAATAAATAAAAATTATTATTTCTTACCGTTTTGATCAAACTCAGGCTGTCCTCATTATCTAATGGAGTAATTCTAGAACAACAATGATAATTAAATATTTAAAAGTCAGATCATCTTTCTGTGACTCCACAGCAACCAAAAAAATCTGTTTTATTTTAAAATAAACACTTATTTGTGCAGGTCATTTCAGCCAATTAGTGTGGGGATTAAATAAGCACAAGTTTGTGACATTAACTAAGTTAAAAGCACTTTTCAAAGGAAACTTAATGAGCTCATGCTGCTTCTACTCATTAACAGTTAATAAAAATCAGTCTGCCCAACTGCTTTTTATTCCTTTTAATGCTTTTTTTTTTTAAATTCCACAGAATTACAGATCTGAAATCACTGAACTACCTCATATACAAAAACATTTAGCATAACTTGTGTGAAATTATCAAACACAAGGGGTTTTGCAGGAGCTCCAAGAGGAGAAAACTTTATTTGTTAGTGTATGAAAAACACTGTAATTAATAACAAGATAATAATGTAATTGTTATATTATTATAGTTATTAATTACATAGTAATGCAATTAATAACAAGAAGTTGTAATATAGTGATACAAACCTGCCATGGTTGTTCACAGCCTGGATTTGAAAAGCAATTTTGGAGCTGTAGAACAAAAAATTGTAAAAGTGAAATGTGTGGTTTATATTTTTAAATGGAAAAAAATCAGCAGGAATAGACTTAAAGCAAAAGAAGTGATTAAGAAAACTGGAAAATGGGATAATTATGATGATTTTTAAAGGATGAATGCATTATGAAGTCTTGAAATCTGGCAGTCAGGCAAGTTCAGTTTATAATTAATATTTTTCAGTTTATAATTTGTATTTTTCAGTTTATAATTAGTATTTTTCCGTTTATAATTTGTATTTTTCAGTTTATAATTAGTATTTTTCAGTTTATAAATAATATTTTTCAGTTTATAATTAATATTTTTCCCCGAAGAAGCCCAATGAGTAACTGTGGAAATACACACCGTAAAGCAGATTTCAGCTGTGCTAAGCCAAGGGTGTCCAACCCAGACAGCAGCACCTGCTCTGCCACCTCCTTTGCCTGAACAAAGGAAATAAAAATTAAAATATCCTCCTCCCATCCCCTTCCAGATCCCAGCAGCTCCAGGAGACACTGAACAGTAACACACTGATGCACCAAGCTAAAATCTGATTTTTCACAGATCTCATTTTCCTTACGATGAGGTCGGGAAAATTCATGAGAAGATGGAAAACCAACTGGAGATGGGTAAAATTAGACACACTCTGAAATCTCTCTTTTATTTTATTTTATTTTTTTTTTTAAAAACAGAATTCAGGGCCTGCTTGGAGGGCAGGGCATGAACCTTGTGTTATTCCATCGAGCGAAACACAGAATTTATTTTGGTTCTCATTTTGGTTTGCACGTCAATCTCACACTGCAAGCCATCCAAATCAACAATTACAGAGAGAGAACAATTAAATTTCATTTACCAACTTGATTTACCTTGGATTCAGTGGAAGTTTTAGCATAGCACTCAATGCCAGCAAGCACAGCCTCTACAACAGCAGAATATATTTGCGACAACAGCGTACTGAAGAGAAATACAAACACAACATTTACTGGACAGGCAGAGTTTTCTTCCTCCTCTCTTTAAAGGAGCATTTTTTCCTCTCATTGCACAACTCCCTTAATAGCTGTTTATTATTATTATTATCCCTTTATTATTATCCCTTAATAATAAAGAAGGGATCTTGGTTGGAATAAGTGAAGTGGTTTTATAGTTAAGCTTTCTGTTTAAGAAAATGAAATTAGAGCGAGGAAATTGCTCGGATTACAGGATATTTTAGGGAAATAACTCTTGATATAAATGTGTCTGGTGCTTTTGTTAGTCAGGAATAAAAAAATCTGATTTATTGTCGTTTTTGCTGCAGTTGGGTTTCAGAATCAGATTCTGAATGCAGAGTCTGGAGTGACAGAGGGATTGGCTTTACCTGGACAGGGGAGGGATGGAGGGACCCTGGGAGGGAATTGTTCCCTGGGAGGGTTTGGAAGCCCTGGGATGGAATTCCCAGAGAATTTGGGGCTGTCCCTGCACCCCTGGAAGTGTCCAAGGGCTTGGAGCCCCTTGGGATAGAGGAAGGTGTCCCTGCTGTCCCTCCCTCTCCTGGCAGAATTTGGAATATTTTGGAATGAGATGCTCTTTAAAGATCTTTTCCAACCCAAACCATTCCATAATTCCATGAAATCTCCATCCCAGCTCAGTCCAATTCCTTTCTTCAAAGGGGACTGAGAAAATGGTACAGAAATAAACCAAACTCAGGAGCTGTTGAGACATTCACAGCTCAAACCAAAAACCCAACCAAGGAACATCAGCCTCTGTTTTCCTGCTAAATTACAATTAAAAAATGAGCAGCTCAATCAAATGACTCCCTAAATTTTAATTTTTCTCCACTGCCAATACTGAGGGAGGGAAGAGGGGGAGGAAAGAGGAGAATACAGCATTGAAGCCAAATGCAAAGCATTCCTGAAGGATGGGAAAAATAAAAGCATCTGAAGATCCCAAACATGGAGGAACCTCAAAATGCACCAAAGTTTGTCTTGGATCGTCCCCAACATTAGCAAGGGACTTGAAAATTCACCTTTTTCACTATTTTTTCATGTTTCTGGATAGTAATTTCCTGAGCTTTCATATGCACTTAGCATGTTTGCTCTGCATTAAAGCAAATGTAATTCCTTTATATTGTAATTTTTCCAGACTTTGTAACCATTCCTATTTTCCCTAAAATTCACACATATATTTGCAAGAAAACACCTCAGTGAGGTGTCCTTTGTCTTATTCTTCCTCCCATTTTAACATTTTAAAGTTAGCAGCGAAAAAAGAAACCAAAAAATCAGCACAAAATTTCTTTTTTGTTGCTTTGGAAGCATTGTCTTAAAATAAAAATAAAACCACAAAATTTATCCCAGTTTATCATTCAATTTTCAGGGTTGGTTTATACATTCCAGGCAATCAGTACAGCCAAATTTGGAATGAATTGTGTTCATAAAATACATTTTATTTTATTTTATTTTATAAAATATTGACAAGTCCAAACTAAACAGAAAATCATGAGTTCAGGTTTGCCAAAAAAAGTCAATTATACTACTGTTGTTGAAATTAGATTATTTGAAGCAATACAGGGATGCTTCCAAGAAAAAAAAATTATTATTTTTAAATTACTGCCTTTATCAACCCCTGCTTTGTTTAGAGTTTCTCCACTCAACTTGATTAAAATGTATTTAGTAAAAGGGATTTTTGAAGGAGGACAAAAAATATTAGAGCAGCATGTAGATGCAAGGAAAACACTTGTTGGAGTTCAGTTTTCTCTTAAAAAAAGGAAATTCTGCTGCTCAGTGCAGTAATTCCATTTTTACGTCTCACAATTAACAAGAATCAACAGTATTTAGTGTGACAGTACTGACACATTAAATATATATAAATATATATTAAATATATATTTAATATTTTTAGTATCTTGCTACCAGGTCATGCAGCTTTGCAGAAGCAAAAACAGGCTCCTAAAATGATCCCAACTAATAAAGGAGGACAAAAATCTCGAAGGAAAAATCTGATTTATCAAGAGAGAGAGCAGGACCAAAGCAGATTTTCTATTGTGTTCTCCAAGCTGGACAGGGATCTACAACATGCACAGGAGGTGGACATAACATGGATAAACAAAGTGGGATTTTGAGATGATTAAAATGTGCAAAAGCTTTGCAGCTTCCCAAATTTTAGGAAAAATTTTGTTTGATTTGACCTTAACAGAGTGAATTTCTTCACAGGTTTGAGTGTTCTCTGTTGGCATTTTCACTGAGCATCAGAAATCTTCCCCATTGTTAAAGAAACTGGTAAAAAAATTGACTTTTTCTTCTATGTGTGCAAGATGTTACAGTGTGAGAGACTTTCTCCCTTTGGTTGACATAAAGTATCTTTAAGAATTATTCAAGATTAATTTTTTACTACAATTTGAGCAAAATTAATAAATTTTCTTTTAATTTTTATATATATATATTTTTTATATATATATATATATATATATATATATATATATATATATATATATATATGTATATATATATATAATATTTTCTCCATATAAATAATATATATATAAATAAATAAATATAAATTTAAAAATAAATAAATAAATATAAAAAAATTATAAATAAATAAAAAAATATTTCCTTTCCTAACAACTCCCCATGTAGCTACTGAAACTCCCCACAGGGATTTTGCCTTTGCAACCCGGTGCCATGCAGATTATTCTGAATAAAAATGTCCCTGCAAATGCCAACAGCCACTAAAAGCAGCTTTCACCAACTGCCATGAGGTAGAAAGAGTGAAAAGTTAGGGAATAATATAAAAAAATTGGCAGCTTACACTTGCTCAGCTTGCTTGTGTATCTCATTGTCATTTCCTGTATTAAAACAAAAATAATAAAACAAAAGTAATAATTAAAAAAGTTTGGTTTAAGCACTCTGAAAACATTTCTGCTGCATATTTTACATGGAATTTATCCAGTATTTTATACTACTAAGGTTGTAATTCCAATTTTCCAACCTTCCCCTCTTCAGTTGTTCTGACCCCAGCATATTATA